TCCTGCCACTGCTAACCGCCAACTGGGCCATGGCGCTTGTTGCCTCCTAACATTCTGAAAGATTCCCTGCTACCCACACCAGTACAAGGTCAGGTCAGTGACGTCAGAACCATCCCTCACAAGCGGACAGCTTTCTGCGTCCTGCATCCTGCTCTACTCTCCCGTCTCCTTCCAGCAGGAATCTCCCTCCTACCTTCAGGACTCCGCGCTGTGCCCGACAGCATGTGGCCCCATGCGGGGATCTGTACAAACAGGGGCCCTCAGCCCAACAGGCACTGACCTTTAGGGAAACTGCCCTCTACCGTCCTCCCTCATTTCTGCTTCAGGTCTCACTAAGGCCATTCTTACGAGCCAGGGAAAGCAGTAGCCCTCTTCCCATAGGAAAGCACAGTAAGATCTATGGGATTTGATAAGATCATCCAAGCCTTGGTGCGACGGCAGATTTCTGGTGACACCACGTTCTTTTGGAAGGTAAATTTCCTTCTCTTTAATCCACTGTTTCGTAAGCAGGTGACCCACCCTGTGTTACTACAAGAAGGATATCACTACCATAAGTCCTTCTGCTCCTATTTCTTCCATTTACATTAAATATAGTCTCTGTTATGGCGCCTAAGTTAGGTTTCGTATGAGGAAATCTCGTATAATTTAAAGGGAATAAGGAACGTGAGTGAGGCTGGGGGAGAGGACGGTAAAAAACGGAATGGAATGAAGGTTTTTCGTCCCAAATAGGAAAGGTACCTGGGCTCACTCCTTCCTGATGTACTCAAAGCCCCCTAGGATGTGGGCATCGCTAAGTCCTGACATCCATTCATTTGTGTATTTGGCAAATCTTTGCGGGACATCTGTAGGGCCAGTCCACAGGGATGGAAAACAATGGCGATGCTGTATGATTTCAACTCTATGACATTCTGGAAAAGGCAAAACAATGGAGACAGTAAAAAGATCAGTGGTTGCCAGGGCAGTGATCAATGATGGATACCTGTCATTATACGTTTGTCACAAAGAGTGAACCCTAATGTAAACTAGAGATGTTAGTTAACAATAATGTATCAATATTGGTTCATCACTTGAAACAAATGTACAACACTAATGCAGAAGAGAAATAATAAGGGAGACTGTGGGGCGGATAGAAAAGGTATTTGGGAATGCTCTGTATTTTTCCATCAATTTTTCTGCAAACCTAAAACTGCTCTAAAAAAAGGAAAGTCCATTAGTTAAAAAAAAAAACAAATGACGGTGAGAATGTACCTGCCTACAAGGCTCTTCCAGCCTGGTGGGGGTGTCTGTGACATACTCACCTACTTTCTTGGGAGTATTTAAGTATTTATGGGACCACTCTGCATCTGTTTTAATAGGAAGCTCTGTTCTAGGCTCTAGGGATACAGTAATAAATCAGACACGGTCCTTGCGTTTCTGGAGCTTACATTCAGAGGGGAGTAATTTGGCAACAAGCATGTAACCAAATACGTAAAGAAGATGCGTTTAGATGGTGATATGTTCCATGGAGAAATTAAAAAGGGAATGTGGGTACTTCCCTGGTGGTCCTGTGGTTAAGACTCCACGCTTCCAATGCAGGGGGTGTGGGTTCGATCCCTGGTCGGGGAATTAAGATCCCACATGCCGTGTGGCATGGCCAAAAAAAAAAAGGGGGGGGCCGGGAATGTGACGGAGTGTCTGTTTAAGTCAGAAGCCGGGAACAGTGTTTATGCTGGATATCGTTTGCTCTCCCACATTCTTTTTCCACCCTTGTCCAGGGGACTGGCCTGCAGCAAAGGGCTCCTTTGTCCTCTGAGTGCTGGTGAGTCGGTCAAAGGGGGGCACTGGCAGAGTCTGGAGGGAGGGAGGAGAGAAAAACTGGGTTTACACCCTGGCTCCCACCTGGCAGGTCAACACACTTTGGAAAAGGCTCTATCTCTTTACCCGCCATGTCAGGCACGGAGGTGATTGTTCTGCGCATCCTTAAATTATCATAGTATATTTAGAATTAATATTATAACACTTAACATGAAATGTAAAAAAATCTTACAGCATGAAAATTATATTTACTCCTTTGTCCTACTGTTATTACATATATTACAACTACATTTATACATATATACCAACTTACAATGCTAACATTTTTACTTTAAACAATTAGTCTTTCAGGATATGAGTTTGTCTTTTTTTTAAAGAAATTTATTTATTTTTGGCTGCGTTGGGTCTACATTGCTGCATGTGGGCTAGTTGCAGCGAGTGGAGGCTGCAGTTCTTTGTGGTGCGCGGGCTTCTCATTGCGGTGGCTTCTCTTGTTGCAGAGCACAGGCTCTAGGCACATGGGCTTCAGTAGTTATGGCACACGGACTCAATAGTTGTGGCTTGCGGGCTCAGTAGTTGTGGCTCGCAGGTTCTAGAGCGCACGCTCAGTAGTTGTGGCACATGGGCTTAGTTGCTCCGTGGCATGTGGGATCTTCCCGGACCAGGGCTCAAACCTGTGTCCCCTGCATTGGCAGGCGGATTCTTAACCACTGCACCACCGGGGAAGTCCCGGTAATATAGCTTTGATAGTCAGCAGCTTGGGCTCTGGAAACAGACGGTCCCAGCTCATCCTCAGCTATGCTGATGTCAGCTCTGTCATTGGCCATATTTCTTGATGGGTCAGAGCCTCAATTTTCTTATCTATCCAGTGGGGATGTAGAAACTACCTCTTGAGGTCATTGAGAATTAAATAATACAGCATATGTAAACCGGTTGGCACAGTGCCTAGCAAATCATAAGCACTTAATAAGTGTTCACAATTTTTATTCTTCTTAGAGAAAAATAATTGGAGTTGCCTTCACACTGGAACCAGGCACTTAGTGAGAGGCTCTCCACGTGGAAAACTGGAGTCAGTCTTGCCTTAGCTGAGGCTGGGAGCCCACCTTGGGTAGAGAGAATGTTGGCCTTGGACCTTGCCTTGGAGGCTGGAGGTCACTGGCTCACTTTAGGCTCCAGGTCCTGGTGTCTGCCTGGACCAGCAGGGAGAAAGAAGAGAGTCTCCTTGAAGGGTGAAGCCAGACGACACTGAAGGCTGAAGCACAGGGCTGGGCTCTGGTCCTTAGAAAGTGGGGCCTGGGGGCCTTCCCTGGTGGCGCAGTGGTTGAGAGTCCGCCTGCCAATGCAGGGGACACGGGTTCGTGCCCCCGTCCGGGAAGATCCCACGTGCCATGGAGCGGCTGGGCCCGTGAGCCATGGCCGCTGAGCCTGCGCATCCGGAGCCTGTGCTCTGCAGCGGGAGAGGCCACAACAGTGAGAGGCCTGCGTACCGCAAAAAAAAAAAAAAAAAAAGAAAGTGGGGCCAGGCAACGCCATCCATGGCATCTCATCTTAGTTACAACAGGTTGAGGATCTGGGATAGTCACACCTTTCTCAGGTCTATTTTAATCCCCAAGGAGTAGCTTCTGGGTTAGTGGTTTCCAAGATGTGTAGAGTTAATAGGTGGTGCAGTAGCTGGCCTTCAAGAGGAGCCGGTGATCCCCACCTCCTGGTATTCACATCCTTGTATACTCCCTCCCACACTGAATATGGGTGTAACCCATAGGATATCGTGGAAATGATGGTGTGTGATTTCCCAAGCTTTGTCGCAAAAGACACTGAAGCTTCCTTCCCTCTCTCTTTCTCTCTGTCTCTTAGATGACGCAGTCTGGGAGAAGCCAACAGCCATGTCATGAGGATGCACAAACAGTCCTGTGGAGAGGCCCGTATGCTGAGGAGCTGAGGCCGCCGGCCAAGAACCAGCTCCATGTGAGAGCACCATCTTGGAAGCAGAGTTTCCAGCCCCAGTCCAGCTGTTGGATGACTACAGCCCTAGCCAACATCTCTTTTCTTTTTTTTTTTTGAGATTAGCTTCTGGTTTCATTTTTGTTCAATCTTTAAAAAAAAATTTTTTTTTTGAGGTATAGTTGATTTACAATATTGCATAAGTTTCAGGTGAATAGCACAGCGATTCAGTTATATATATATTCTTTTCCAGATTCTTTTCCCTTATAGATTATTACATAATATTGAGTATAGTTCCCTCTGAGCCAGAATCATCTAGCTAAACCATCCACAGATTCCTGCCCCTCATTATTATTATCTGAGATAATAAATGTTTGTTGTTTTGAGGCAGGAGATAGATGGGCCCCAAGCTGAACAGCTGGAGTTTGTCCCCTGTGGACAGATACTCCACAGTAGCAGGAGGGAGAAGAGCTGAACCCTGCTCAAATAAGAAACAAAAGACCACGTATTCCTCATTCTTGAATTCAAGGAAATTTTCCCAACTACACATGTGCAGAAAGGCTCCCTGGAGGTCAAAAAGGGAGGGGGTGCCACCCCATAGTATGGGAGTCAACTACCCATAGGCCTCTTTGCTAGAAGTCATCTTGGCTAAGAGATTGCGTGCGCACACATAGGAGGACCCTGAGATAAACCCAAACCAGGCAAAGCAAGATGATTGGCCAAAGGAAACCCGGAAGAAATGCCCCATGTAAGTAATTCAAACTACCACGAGGGCGCGACTCTTTCTCTGAGCTGCCCATGTGTCCCTCTACAGGTACCCTTTTCCTCCTAATAAATACTTTACTTGCTTCATTACTTTCCATCTCTCTGTGGAAATTCATTTCTACACAGCTGACGGACCAGGGCCTTGTCACTGGCCACTGGTCTTGAGGCTAGGATTCAGTGCTCTCACTGCTGTGACCTGACTTCCATCTCTAGCTGGAAACCGAAACCCTACTTCAAGCCGCTGCAGGCCAAGGCCACCCGAGGGCGTATTCAAGCTACCTAGTTTGGGGATATATATATATATATATATATATATTTTTGCGGTACGCGGGCCTCTCACTGTTGTGGCCTCTCCCGTTGCGGACCACAGGCTCCGGACGCGCAGGCTCAACGGCCACGGCTCACGGGCCTAGCTGCTCTGCAGCATGTGGGATCGTCCCGGACCGGGGCGCGAACCCGCGTCCCCTGCATCGGCAGGCGGACTCTCAACCACGGCGCCACCAGGGAAGCCCGGGGATAAATTCTTAACACAGCAACATGTAACTAATATAGCTGGTCTAGAGAAAAAAAGAGACAACCCTTAAAGGAGTCCAGGATTAAGCAAAGTTTACAGGTTTCTTTACTGTGAGATTTCTTAAAAGCCTATAATATGTTACTGTGCATCGTGGATATCCAAGAGAGTGACATGATGTTTAGGCTTCCCCAAATTTATTTGACTGCAGATCCCCTGGGCTCTGTGCACCCCCTGACCTCCCCCTGACCTCCCCAGTGCCTTTACTTTTTGCAGAGAATTTCTGGCAACTAGTATGTAGGAAACACACTTGGGGAAATGCTGCCTGGGAAGGTGGTAGAAGGAGAGATACTTCATCTCTTCAGGCCTCAGTTTCCTCATCTGCAAAAAGAAAGTTGGATTTAATAACATCAGGACTCTATTTCTGCTCTAACATTTTAAGTCTGAAACTGGGTGAGGTGCATGCCATTCTGCCCCTCCCCGTGCCACCCCTCCGCCCATCGCAGTCACTCTACAGCCAATTAGGGGTGACTGGGAGAAAATTCCAAGTCAGATTAATCAAGGTAGAGGGAAGTTATAGATATGCTAATGCTTTATGTTAAAGACTGATGAGAGTGGGTAATTGGAGGTGGCAGAAGGGTGCAGAGTTGTGAAGAAATTTCGGTTCTTAGAGAAAACATTGCATTCAAAGAGCTTAAGAATGATTAATGGAGGTTCTGGAATTACAAAGAGCAACCAGTAGAAACTGTTTGGAACAGAAATTGCTCAGGGAGAATAACCTTGAGGAGACATTTTGTGGGACATTTTGTGGATGCAAGGGGCAGGGCAGGGGCTTGAGTGCTGGTGAGGGGAGATGCAGTCTGGTGCAGGAGTGGGCTGTGACCCCGCAGAAGGTGACCTCATGGAGATCTGGCTCAATGCCTGGACAGGGTTGAAGCCAGAGGGGCTGGAGGTGATCATAAAAGCTGGACCTGTGTGCACCTGTCCCCCCCTCCTTTGTATATGATTGCATCCCATGCTTACTTCCTGCTGTAGACAGCAAAGCCTGACTCAGTGGCTGGGGAATCCTGCTGTCCTGGACAAGACCCAGAGGGGAGACACACCACTGACAAATAGCCACGTCTGGAAGGGCACCATTTCCAGAGCCTGATTGGCTGGTCCCTTGGGCGTTGTTCAGGAGAAGTGGTCCAGGTTGAAAAGAAGATGGCGGAGAAACCCTCTCTTTCCCTGAAGGAGGGAAAGCCAGGGTGTCCTATATATCTCCCTCTAAACAGGAGAATTTGGGGGAGGGCTGCATCCAGACACATCTCTGGGCTGCGCGTGCTCTTCCATCGTAGACCTGAACCCCGGTCACAGACCTCACAGACCCAAATGCTCAGATCACTGGCCTTGCCTCTTCTTGTCAAGACCACCATGGTTGAGATTTCGGGCACTGCCACCAGGCATTTATAATCCTGTCAGCTGGCGGATGAAGGATGGGGGAAGCATGTCCACCCAGGGAGGTTCTGCCTTGAACCAGATGCTGCTGATAGAGACCACCTCCCCTGCCTCTCCATCTCTTTCAGTTCCAGCCCCAGGGCACCCATCACCTCCTCCACCCTCCTTGCTCTGGTCAATATCCTACTCCCAGACAGCCTGGCCAGTGAGCAGGTGCCGCATGGCACCTCCACCCTCCTGGGTCCTGGAGTGATGGATGAGTGGGCTGCGCACCTCCTGTACCCTCTCCCACCTTACCCCCACCCTTACTTTCAGAGTGCAGCAGAAAGGTGCTGGTTCTCTGGGCCCCATGGAGCCTGGAGTCCTGATGCCAAGTGTGCATGGGGAAGGGAAGAGGCAGAGGCCGTGAGTGGTGGCTGGATTCCTGGGGTATCCAAGCTCATTCCAGGGAGCTCGTCTGTCCTGCTCTGGACCCAGAGAATCAGGTCCCCTTTCCTTTCTGCTGGTGGACAGAGCTTTCCTTTAGAGAAACTCACACCCCTTAGGCTGGTTCCTTCCAATCCAAAAAGTCTTTAAGATCATCTTGTCCAGCTGTTTTCAGACTTCAAAAAATAATCTGCAGGACTTCCCTGGTGGCGTAGTGATTAAGAATCTGCCTGGAGAAGCAAGAAGAACTACAATCCTGCAGCCTGTGGAACAAAAACCACATTCACAGAAAGATAGACAAGATGAAAAGGCAGAGAGCTATGTACCAGATGAAGGAACAAGATAAAAGCCCAGAAAAACAACTAAATGAAGTGGAGATAGGCAACCTTCCAGAAAAAGAATTCAGAATAATGATAGTGAAGATGATCCAGGACCTCAGAAAAAGAAGGGAGGCAAAGATCGAGAAGATGCAAGAAATGTTTAACAAAGACCTAGAAGAATTAAAGAATAAACAAACAGAGATGAGCAATACAATAACTGAAATGAAAACTACACTAGAAGGAATCAATAGCAGAATAACTGAGGCAGAAGAACGGATAAGTGACCTGGAAGACAGAATAGTGGAATTCACTGCTGTGGAAAAGAATAAAGAAAAAAGAATGAAAAGAAATGAAGACAGCCTAAGAGACGTCTGGGACAACATTAAACGCAACAACATTCGCATTATAGGGGTCCCAGAAGGAGAAGAGAGAGAGAAAGGACCCGAGAAAATATCTGAAGAGATTATAGTCAAAAACTTCCCTAACGTGGGAAAGGAAATAGCCACCCAAGTCCAGGAAGCGCAGAGAGCCCCATACAGGATAAACCCAGGGAGAAACATGCCGAGACACATAGTAAGCAAATTGACAAAAATTAAAGACAAAGAAAAATTATTGAAAGCAGCAAGGGAAAAATGACAAATAACATACAAGGGAAATCTCATAAGGTTAACAGCTGATTTCTCAGCAGAAACTCTACAAACCAGAAGGGAGTGGCATGATATATTTAAAGTGATGAAAGGGAAGAACCTACAACCAAGATTACTCTACCCAGCAAGGATCTCATTCAGATTCGATGGAGAAATCAAAAGCTTTACAGATAAGCAAAAGCTAAGAGAATTTAGCACCACTAAACCAGCTCTACAGCAAATGCTAAAGGAACTTCTCTAAGTGGGAAACACAAGAGAAGAAAAGGACCTACAAAAACAAACCCATAACAATTAAGAAAATGGTAATAGGAACATACATATTGATAATTGCCTTAAATGTGAATGGATTAAATGCTCCAACCAAAAGACACTGGTTTGCTGAATAGATACAAAAACAAGACCCATATATATGCTGTCTACAAGAGACCCGCCTCAAACCTAGGGACACGTACAGCCTGAAAGTGAGGGGTAGAAAAAGATAGTCCATGCAAATGGAAATCAAAAGAAAGCTGGAGTAGCAATACTCATATCAGGTAAAATAGAATTTAAAATAAAGAATGTTACAAGAGACAAGGAAGGACACTACATAATGATCAAGAGATCAATCCAAGAAGAAGATATAACATTTATAAATATATATGAACCCAACATAGGAGCACCTCAATACATAAGGCAACAGCTAAGAGCTATAAAAGAGGAAATTGACAGTAACACAATAATAGTGGGGGACTTTAACACCTCACTTACACCAATGCACAGATCATCCAGACAGAAAATTAATAAGGAAATACAAGCTTTAAATGACACAATAGGACAGATAGATTTCATTGATATTTATAGGACATTCCATCCAAAAACAGCAGATTACACTTTCTTCTCAAGTGCACATGGAACATTCTCCAGGATAGATCACATCTTGGGTCACAAATCAAGCCTCAGTAAATTTAAGAAAATTGAAATCATATCAAGCATCTCTTCTGACCACAACGCTATGAGATTAGAAATGAATTACAGGGAAAAAAACGTAAAAAACACAAACAGATTGAGGTTAAACAATACACTACTAAATAACCAAGAGATCACTGAAGAAATAAAAAAATACCTAGAGACAAATGACAATGAAAACACGATGATCCAAAACCTATGGTATGCAGAAAAGCAGTTCTAAGAGGGAAGTTTATAGCTATACAAGCCTACCTCAAGAAACAAAAAAAATCCCAAATAAACAATCTAACCTTACACCTAAAGGAACTAGAGAAAGAAGAACAAACAAAACTCAAAGTTAGCAGAAGGAAAGAAATCATAAAGATCAGAGCAGAAATAAATGAAATAGAAACAAAGAAAACAATAGGAAAGATCAATAACACTAAAAGCTGGTTCTTTGAGAAGATAAACAAAATTGATAAATCATTAGCCAGACTCATCAAGAAAAAGAGGGAGAGGACTCAAATCAATAAAATTAGAAGTGAAAAAGGAGAAGTTACAATGGACACCGCAGAAATACAAAGCATCCTAAGAGACTACTACAAGCAACTCTATGCCAATAAAATGGACAACCTGGAAGAAATGGACAAATTCTTAGAAAGGTATAACCTTCCAAGACTGAACCAGGAAGAAATAGAAAATATGAACAGACCAATCACAAGTGATGAAATTGAAACTGTGATTAAAAATCTTCCAACAAACAAAAGTCCAGGACCAGATGGCTTCACAGGTGAATTCTATCAAACATTTAGAGAAGAGCTAACAGCCATCCTTCTCAAACTCTTCCAAAAAAATTGCAGAGGAATGAACACTCCCAAACTCATTCTATGAGGCCACCATCACCCTGATACCAAAACCAGACAAAGATACTACAAAAAAATAAAATTACAGGCCAATATCACTGATGAATATAGATGCAAAAATCCTCATCAAAATACTAGCAAACAGAATCCAACAGCACATTAAAAGGATCATACACCATGATCAAGTGGGATTTATCCCAGGGATGCAAGGATTCTTCAATATATGCAAATCAATCAATGTGATACACCATATTAACAAATTGAAGAAGAAAAACCATATGATCATCTCAATAGATGCAGAAAAAGCTTTTGACAAAATTCAACATCCACTTATGATAAAAACTCTCCAGAAAGTGGGCATAGAGGGAACTTACTCAACATAATAAAGGCCATATACGACAAACTCACAGCAAACATCATTCTCAATGGTGAAAAACGGAAAGCATTTCCTCTAAGATCAGGAACAAGACAAGGATGTCCACTCTCACCACTATTATTCAACATTGTTTTGGAAGTCCTAGCCACAGCAATCAGAGAAGAAAAAGAAATAAAAGGAATCCAAATTGGAAATGAAGAAGTAAAACTGTCACTGTTTGCAGATGACATGATACTATACACAGAGAATCCTAAAGATGCCACCAGAAAACTACTAGAGCTAATCAATGAATTTGGTAAAGTTGCAGGATACAAAATTAATGCACAGAAATCTCTTGCATTCCTCTACACTAACGATGAAAATTCTGAAAGAGAAATTAAGGAAACACTCCCATTTACTATTGCAACAAAAGGAATAAAATGCCTAGGAATAAACCTACCTAGGGAGACAAAAGACCTGTATGCAGAAAACTATAAGACACTGATGAAAGAAATTAAAGATGATACCAACAGATGGAGAGATAGACCATGTTCTTGGATTGGAAGAATCAACATTGTGAAAATGACTATACTACCCAAAGCAATCTACAGATTCAGTGCAATCCCTATCACATTACCAACAGCATTTTTTACGGAACTAAAACAAAAATCTTAAAATTTGTATGGAGACACAAAAGACCCCGAATAGCCGAAGAAGTCTTGAGGGAAAAAAATGGAGATGGAGGAATCAGACTCCCTGACTTCAGACTATACTACAAAGTTACAGTAATCAAGACAATATGGTACTGGCACAAAAACAGAAACATAGATCAATGGAACAAGATAGAAAGCCCAGAGATAAACCCACGCACCTATGGTCAACTAATCTATGACAAAGGAGGCAAGGATATACAATGGAGAAAAGACAGTCTCTTTAATAAGTGGTGCTGAGTAAACTGGACAGCTACATGTAAAAGAATGAAATTAGAACACTCCCTAACACCATACACAAAAATAAACTCCAAATGGATTAGAGACGTAAATGTAAGACTGGACAATATAAAACTCTTAGAGGAAAACATAGGAGACCAGTCTCTGACGTAAATCACAGCAAGATCTTTTTTGATCCACCTCCTAGAGTAATGGAAATAAAAACAAAAATAAACAAATGGGACCTAATGAAACTTCAAAGCTCATGCACAGCAAAGGAAACCATAAACAAGACAAAAAGACAAACCTCAGAATGGGAGAAAATATTTGCAAACGAATCAACGGGCAAAGGATTAATCTCCAAAATATTTAAACAGCTCCTGCAGCTCAATATTAAAAAAACAAACAACCCAATCAAAAAATGGGCAGAAGATCTAAATAGACATTTCTCCAAAGAAGGCACAAAGATGGCCAAGAAGCACATGAAAAGCTGCTCAACATCACTAATCATTAGACAAATGCAAATCAAAACTACAATGAGGTATCGCCTCACACTGATTAGAATGGGCATCATCAGGAAATCTACAAACAAGAAATGCTGGAGAGGGTGTGGAGAAAAGAGAACCCTCTTGCACTGTTGGTGGGAATGTAAATTGATACAGCCACTATGGAGAACAGTATGGAGGTTCCTTAAAAACTAAAAATAGAATTACCATATGACCCAGCAATCCCACTACTGGGCGTATACCCAGAGAAAACCATAATTCAAAAGGACACATGCGCCCCAGCATTCATTGCAGCACTATTTCCAATAGCCAGGTCATGGAAGCAACCTAAATGCCCATCGACAGAAGAATGGATAAAGAAGATGTGGTACATATATACAATGGAATATTACTCAGCCATAAGAAAGAACGAAGTTGGGTCATTTGTTGAGACGTGGATGGATCTAGAGACTGTCATACAGAGTGAAGTAGGTCAGAAAGAGAAAAACAAATATCGTATATTAACGCATATGTGTGGAACCTAGAAAAATGGTACAGATGAACCAGTTTGCAGGGCAGACATTGAGACACAGATGTAGAGAACAAACGTATGGACACCAAGGGGGGAAGTGGCGGGGGTGGTGGGGGTGGTGGGATGAATTGGGAGATTGGGATTGACATATACACACTAATATGTGTAAAATAGATAACTAATAAGAACCTGCTGTATAAAAAAATAAATAAAATAAAATTCAAAATTA